TTGTTTCAAAATTAAGAGATGAGATTTTTGCTGCTTTGCCGAGCAGTTACAGAAACCTTGTTGCTGGGGGACATGTACAACAGCGGAAAGGAGGGTTTCCAAAGTTGAAAATATTTCCTGCTGTCAGTGAAGGACAAGAAGAGCGGGAAGGATCTATACTGACTTTTAAAACTCCGCAGCTGGAAGAGCTTGAGGATGCATCAAAGAAAGCAATGCTGTATGTTACAGTGAAAGTCATTCACATGGACTCACTCAGCCGGCAGAGTTTCGCAAAGTGGACAGAGACAATGGAGCCAGACTTCATGGTGAGGGACAGGTGGAGAGTCCTGTATAAGCCTCCCATCGAGAAGCGGACAGCTGATCTGCAGTGGAGGCTTATTCACAGGGCGATAGCTACAAACAGACACGTAGCACACCTAAATCCAGCAGTGGGGGGGTGTTGTAGTTTCTGTAGTGCTGAAGAAACGATAGAGCATTTGTTCTTACAATGTTTGAGGCTTGGAGGTCTTCTTGACTTGCTTGATTCTTGGTTTCAGGGGATTGGTGAGGAGTTTTCCCATAAAGTTTTTATTGGGGGACTTAAATACAAAGTGCTCGATAGAGGTAAACTGTGTTTATTAAATTACCTCATTGGTACAGCAAAGCTTGCAATATGGAAAACAAGAAAAAACAAAGAGTTGAAAGTTGGTTCAACAAATGTAGAAATGATGTTGAAGTGTATGGTAAAAGGAAGGATAAAAATAGAATTTTCATATTATAAGCTGATCAATGATGTTGAAAGGTTTTTAAGAATATGGGGTATAAATGAGGTTTTGTGTGTTTTTGATGATGCAGATTTACTTTTTACTTTTTAGTATATGTTTTAAATTATTTGTTGTTGAGGTAAAAGGATACAGGTAACAATGGTGTTGTAAAATCCTGAATTTAATGTAACAATAAAGATCTGTTCAACCTCTCTTTCTCTCTCTCTCTCTCTCTCTCTCTCTCTCTCTCTCTCTCTCTCTCTCTCTCTCTCTCTCTCTCTCTCTCTCTCTCTCTCTCTCTCTCGTGTCCCATCCTTTCTGTCGAGCAGGAGATTCTTCTGTTTTTACATAGAGCCATCAAAGCAGATAGCCTAAATGAGAGCGCGCGTGAACATCTTCATTCATTCATTCATTTAGTCATCAAAACAGACAACCTGAACAACATGCAGGTAAGATGCTCTAGCTAAGTCATAGAAATAGAAATAAACGTGTTCTGGTACTGTTTTTGAACGCAAAGAACTTGATACTATCTATTTATCTTCCTATGCCTTTCACTTTGAAGTGTTTAGTAACTTTCATTCAATTCGTATATTTCCAATTGGGGTGTTATACTTTCGGTATTGTGCATGTTTAATCCATAATCTTCTTTAATGACAATGAATTTTTCTAGTCAGTTAGATTACATGTCTAATTAATTGCTTATGTAATGATGAATAAAGATACATTTTGCTGAAAGTTTATTGAAAGTTAATTTTCTATCAATGCCATGCTTTCTAACATGGTCTTCAATCAGACTTTGTAAGAATTTCTAAAGGCTAGTTATATACCAAGCAGTGGAGACTTCAGTGTGTGTGTGAAGGTTTATATTACATTGTAAATCAATTAATAAACATACTAAATAATGTTTGTTTTTGTTTGTTTGTTTTATGTAAAAAGGCAGAATATTTTCTGTAATGTGTAGGTTTAGGGGACAGAATACAGTTTGTACAGTATAAAGACCATAACGCCAATGGAGAATCCCCAACAAGATGGTAAAACTATGTGTGTGTGTGTGTGTGTGTGTGTGTGTGTGTGTGTGTGTGTGTGTGTGTGTGTGTGTGTGTGTGTGTGTGTGTGTGTGTGTGTGTGTGTGTGTGTGTGTGTGTGTGTGCGTGTGTGTTTGAAGACAATTAAATTGTCTTGAGAGGAGCCCTAAGCCATTTTCATCTACAAAGTTTGTTGGAAAGAGACTTTTATAACCAGTAATCTGATTATTATGTAACACTGCCTTTTTTTAGACTACTTTAGAACACCCTGTGTCAGGAATTTGATATCATGCCCTTCATGTCCTTTGCCTAACGTAACATAAGAGCTTTTGGATGAGGGAAAAGGACAAAAATAAATATTTCAATATCTATAGCAAATCTCTACTTTTTAGGTCAGTCAATGATACCCACATTTTCTTTTAATATTTTACATTATATCCCCACTACACTAGTGATAGTTATAGTTACAAATACTTTCTTATCCACTTAAACATACATGTGCAAGACAAGAAGAAGAAAAAAAAACAGACACTGATGACCTGTGACAACATCAGTGATGGCTTATGTAATCACTGGCAGAGGAACAGTGTGGTCATGACTCTTACTTGAGACTGTCATATGCGATTGACACTTTGTAATAAGTTTAAATGCCTGCACTGAAGAATTTGTTCTCCTAAAACTCGCAGTAACAGTATTTGGTGTGAGTTATCAGTGATATTTTCTTCTTTATAGTATAGTTACTGTGAAAGATGGCTGAAATGGAAAAACCTGAGGTAAATTTACAGTTTGAAATGATTGTTTTTTTTTTGGTTTTTTTTTCAAAATCCAGCTGCAATTGCACAAATATATATTTTTTTTTTAAATGAGCCAGATTTGTTTTGACCATTAGCAGAAGCAAGTATTGTATTGATGGAATATCAAAATGTGTCACTTACACACACAACATAGAAAGTAAACTTGGCTCATTTTGGTCAACTCCATGGCATTTTCTTCTTGCCGATGATAATAGGAGATGGGTTCCTGAAAAATGAGATGCAGCTTTCACATGGGGGGCAAGTTTGACTTGATGTAATGTTGCCCCTTCATGCTGGCAGGCAGACTGTTTTAAAATTCAAACACCATAACTCTAGTGTTTAATAATTTAGTGAACATTTTGCCAAATTCTAGACAGGAAAATCTCTGAGAATCTTTCACAAGAAAAACCCAAAGTACTGCCCAAAGGCAACATTATTGGGTGTTAGAGAACAAGAGGACTGAATACATTTGAAACTGTTGGGATTAAGATTGTGAACATGAACATTTTATATGTGTAATCAAGAACAATTTTGGAATTTAGAACCCCAGGGCCTAACCATGGTTACTCATTTATGAATGGATTTTCATTTTTTGGAAATTCATGTGCTCAGTGTTGTTTGTTATGTTGTAGGGTTTTTTTTTTACCCTAAACTGAAGTTGGTTTTATTGGTGCTCTAAATTTTCTCAACTCAGATAGTTTACTACCTCAGCTAGTTTTGATCAATATCCTACAACTGCTCTAACTTAGTTGCACTATAAACTGTTCGGATATGTTATAGAATTAAAGGAGAACTCCGGCGCAAAATGAACCTTTGGTCTAATAAAACATCGGTACCTAGTCAATTGTTCTCTGAGATCTGTTTTCATGATAATCGAATGTAAAGAGTTTTATCTCTAAAAACTGTTTAGCGTATAATGCTAGTATATGGGGCACCGGATAAGTAAAAAGAAGTCGCTAGTTAATACCACTAACAAGGGTCAAAATAGCCCCACACTAACACAGTAATATAACGAGGGTCCATACATGCAACACTTTCATTATTTCTCACTTTCTTTCTTTCTTTCTGCAACTTGCGTGAATGCATCTGTTAGATATTAGTTTCTGTGTATTAGAATAGTTCAATTAAGTCTTGAACTGCTTATCTTGTTTACTTGCTAATAATAGCATTAGTCCCATTGTCCCAATGCAATACCTTTATGTTGGTTCTGTTCTGTTTACCCGAAGGGGGGTTATCGCTGCTCTCCCTGCTCTTATCCATCCTAGGCTGCATGGATGCGCAGGAAGTTCTTGCATACCTTACCACCAATCCAAACTGTATGCTGATTGTCAGTCATCTTTGACGATAGTGATCCTGGCAGAATTAAAGGTCATGACGTTGTTGCTAAAAGGGCAACAATAAATCTGCAACCCTCAGGCAGGAATCACCCTTACTAAAATCACTTGTATAGCGTGCTGCTCTGTTTTCTCTTGCACCATTGCAGTACCACTAAAGCAGCTACTCTGGTGTAACTGTTTGTGTTGAAGGTGCCATATGAGGTTGTTTGGGACAGGTTGAGCAGTCACAGTGGTCAAGCCAGAGATTAATTGGAGACTGCTATGCCGACATTGCTTACCATATACGTTACACTCGACTGACTCGCTATAGTCATGTCAATAATGCAGCAGGTGCCAAGGTCTCTAGGTGACAACATGACAGTTCAGCACAAATACACACATGTCCACACGACAGTGAGCATTGTTAAAACCAAATCACAGCTTTAAACACACAAATATAGTCAAGAAAGAAAACAGTCTGGCACTCTGCAATGAATTTGTCAGTGTGATTATGTAACACTCACCAGTGCCTGTCAGAGCAGATGTGTAGCCATGCAAACTTTTACAGAATTAAAAATGTTCTTTATAGTTCTTTCAGTGTGTTATGAATTCTCTTTCCTGGCAATATTTAAAACATGATGGCCCTCAAAAATGATGTCCCCCAAGATGTTTTATTGATGTTTTTGGGGAGCTTGAATAATTTAGCGATTCTCTAAATGTTCTTTTCATGCAAATAAGAAACAAGGAGTAAAAAAAACAGTGAGGACCCTCACAGGATTCCTAACACCATTTTAGAAAATCAGTAGTTTGCACACTCTTTGCATTTTCTGTTTAAGGTGTGTTTAATATTTTTCTTTAAAGCTGCTATTCCTTAGACGCTTTATATTTGTATTTATTTTATCTCTGTATCTCTTTTATCAGACGGTGAAAGTTGTAACAGCACCTTCAAAAAGATTCTGTGCCAACCTTCTTCACATGCTTTTATGATCTGGGCTCTTTTAATGTGTTTTCTCATTGTCGTCCTCCAGGCAGGGGGACAGAAGGGCGTCGATGGAGGTCTGCTGCCTGACGCCAACGGGCTGGATGGGGAACCCAGCGGGCAGAAGGAGAGCGACGGGAAGTGGCAGAAGCCGCGCATCTCCCGCAAGTCCCTCATGAAATGCTGTCTGGTCAAATGGATCATCGCCAGTACAACGCCTCAAGGCTCAAGTATGACTCTTACAAACCCGGAAAATAACACTAGCCAATATCTAGATGGAGGACTGGAGGGGATAAATTACAAAGGATATGTTTAATATAGCATTCATAATGTATTATACGCAGCTTTGAACTGTACCCAATACATCAAAAAGGTTGGTCTAGGGTACGGTCCATGTAAACTCCGGTGCGGTTCACTGCTGAACGCATTCTTATTAAATCACGGAAGTGAACCGTGATTCGACCTATGTTTCGACAAAACTGTGTCTGTGTGCGTCTCGTTCGCTTTTCTGAAAAGCGTGACTGACTCACTGCAAGCAGAGTGTATAATTTCATTTATACTCGCCTTCAGCTGAAATGAACTCCCACGTCCTTCAGATCATTTGCAGTACAATTCGAAGCAGATAGACACTATGTGCACTAAAATGTGTTTTAAACATAAAAAATTATCTTCTGAAAACGAAACCAAATGTTAAAAAAAAAATCTAAATATAAACGTGAGGTGAGTAATGCTATGCATTTTGCCGCCTTCCCCTGTGTCGTCAATACCAAGCAACAGTGTAAACAGCTGCTGCTTTGATAATGAAAACGCACTGCGGTTCAGGCTCAAATTATATAATGTGAATACAGTCTAGAAGGAGGAAGGAGGACAAATCGAAGTCTGGTTCGGACTAGGCAAAAATGTGTGAAAGCACCCTTAGTCAATACTAAATACTTGCTTCTGACATAATTCTTTAACTGCCACAACTTAAACACATCTGAGCTTTAAGAAAATCATTTTAGGCTGCCACAGTTAAAATGACTTTGTGGTATGTATGATGTGTGTATGTGTGCTTAGCTCATATACAGCATCATTTAAGACATGACTTGAAGGTAGCATATTATTTCCATTTTATGCTCACTCTGGGTGATCCTGGAGTGAGTGAAACACAGGCTGTGTCTAAAATCACCCCCTAGACCCTCATTCACTGTTCCCTGTTACTCCATTAATATAGTTCACATAAGGGCTTGAATGAAAACGAGAGCAAATTCAGACACTTCAGTGTGCTGGAAGGGCTGCCGCTTTTGTAAAGTTTGAATTATTTAAAGATTTATCTTGATCTCTGTCATGGAAACTATCTATAAACTGGAAGAAAAAAAAACAATTTAACAATCAATTTAAAAGGAAGTCATACCTGAATGATATTACGCTTTACCCACATTGTACCATATTTGAAAAATGGATGGATGAATGATTCCTGTGCCGACGCCCTCTTCTGGTCAGAAACGTATATTCATTCGCCCAGTGACTCAGTGCATTATGGGTATACTCTAGCCGTTAAATGTATATTGGTTGTACATCCATTACTGCAGTGCTTTGTGGGATTAAATGACTGCACTCGATAATGTCCACTATGGTTTCGGACACCATGGCTGTCCTCTCAAATAATACCTTATTTAAAGGTGCTCTAAGCGATGTCACACGTTTTTTAGGCCCAAACATTTTTTGTCAAACTGTAAAAATATATATATATATATATATATATATATATATATATATATATATATATTCAAGATTTATTATCACAACATTTTTTTTCTTTTGTCAAATCAACTTAAATAGTTTATTTAGTTGAGATAACTTATTATTTTGAGTTTCTGATGATTAAATCAATCTCCTTCATTCTATCAACTCACTTTTTCCAGTTCAATCAACTTAAAATTTTAAGGCAACCAGGTTACTTATTTTTTAAAGTTAAACCAACAATATTTTTTTTTTTACAGTGTACAGCAAACATCTCCTCACTATCCGCTAGCTGCCTGTCCCCTAAACACACTTAAAAAAAAAACACGGTCAATGCAGACAACCCAAGCTCCACAAATGGCAAACTGCGGCAACCCGCTCCACGAAACATAACAAACTGTTCCAGCCAATAACTGACAAGAAGGCCCTGGGGGTGGAGTTTGGGGGTCAGTGTAGATGAGGAGGAGGGAGGGTCTATCTAGCCTCCGTTTTGTTTGAAAATACTTTGAACGTCAACAAGAAGTCACGTCACCCGACATCGCTTAGAGCACCTTATGGGTCAACCCGGTCTCATCCCAAGACGTCATATAACTGACGTTTTGGGACGTCTTTTGACCATGCGTCAATATTCGCCTTTTTAGGGCCCCCTTAAACGTCGGTAGATGAGGTTATGGGATCCTAACCCATACCTAAACCTAACCCTAAACCTAACCCGTCACCTAACTGACGTTAAAGGTAAAGCGTCAGTTGTATGACGGCCCGGGATCGCCATCTACCGACGTTTAAGGGGGCCCTAAAAAGGTGAATATTGACGTATGGTCAAAATACGTCCCAAAACGTCAGTTATATGACTTTTTGGGATGAGATATGGGTATAGGGGGCAATTTCAGACACACGCATAGATGTTTCTGAATAAAAATATTTATTTCTTTGAAAACAACATTTGAACGGTACTATATAACCTACAACAGTATATACTGTGAACTATCAATCTACTGAAGGCAACACTGTTCAGCAACTCTTCCTCACTACACATTCAATCTGATGTCATATTTTCCTCTTCTTACAGCATCGCTCTCTCCATCCTCCTCTAATTTTGCTTTCATCTTCTTTCACTGATTCTCCCCCTTCTACCCCTCTATAAAGAATAATCTAATGGTATAGTTAATTATCTTTAAAAAATGTTGTATGTGTAATATGCAGGGTTTATGTGGTTATTAATAGGTATCTTGTGTCAGACCGCTCAGGGATGGTATGAGGGGATACCACGTGACTGAGCTGCAACGTCCGGTGTAAATAATTGACAGAGCACCTCTGTGTGTGCAGACAGTGAGCAATGTAGCGTGAGTGTGTGCCTACATCTGCAGGACTGAGACCCCCAGTTCACTTTAAACCAACCATCCCATCGGCATTTTTTAGCAGCCTGTTGTGTCATCATGTTTCTATTGCTATATTCAGACAATCCTCACTCCTCACTTCTCTTTATCTAATGTCTGCAGTCAATCTGTGTGCAACTATAATAAGATTTTAGTTATGTAGCTCACTTAAAGATATAAAGGCAAAGTACATTTGTATACATTTTTTATACACCAGTGACTAAAATATCACCCTGGACCAGTGACTAAAATATCAAACTGCTGAATTGGATGCAGAAATGATTCTGCTTCCCTATTGAAACAAACCATTTGGGACTCCAGTCCAGACAGCCTAAATGTCTAAATGATGTTACAATGTGCTCCTCACATGTTACAATGTACCCCACCTATGGGGCATGTGTTCACATTTCACTTCCATTCTTTCGGGGTAAGTAAAGAAAAAAGTATACACTGTAATAATAAAACAAAACTACATAATTGTACTAGATGTGGGAAATGAATGCGTGAAAAGATCGATTAGATTTACACAAACTGAGAAAGTCAAAAAGTGTTACGTTGTGCCCCGCTCTCCCCTACTTTCTCATTAAAGCCTCTGAAGAAGAGTATTATAATCATTAAATGTTTTTGTGAGCCATTTAGGAAGGACTTACTTCCACTTAAATACTGTTAGTGAAGTTAAAGGATTATGAGCAGTGAGAAGCTCTACTTCTCATTTGGTATAATCCACTAAAACCGACGAATTAAAAAAGCACAATCATTTTCCATGTACGTGTTATGACATGGATAATTAAAATGAACCTATTATGATTAGGTTTGTTGAGGACATTTTGTGTGGAAACAAATATTACATCATTTAATTCAAATACATTTTTGAGGAAGCTCAGTCTCTGCCTCCTCGGATGGGCCACCACTAGAAAGAATAGATACTAGTGTGTTTGAAGAATGGGCAAACATGAAACACTGGACCAGGAAAGAAAGAGATGCCATAGGTGGCAAAAATTCAGAATAAATGAGAGCAAGAAACCAGAACAGAATCCCAAGTGGTCAACGTCCAGCTGAACTTATTTTTTTCCCTCTACTTTGTATTGTGAGCCCAACAGATGGCAGTATACCTTTGAAGAATACAATGTGCATTCATGAATGCGATTACATTAGGCTGTGAGTGAGTGTACTGAAATTATTTAAAATCGTGTCAGGTTAGGAGTTAAACAAAGTTATAAGTGCCCTAACCTACAATTCAAAGATTTGTTTTAAAGGAATTAATACTTTTATTTAACAAGGACGCATTCAATTGGTCATAAGCGAAATTCATAATGCTACAAAATATGTATATTTCAAATAATTGGTGTTATGTCGAACTTTTTATTTATCAAAGTATCCTGAAAAAAAAATGATCATGGTTTTCACAGAAAAAAATATTAAGCAGCACAAATGTTTTCAACATTGATCATAATGAGAAATTATTCTTATTATAACAGCAAATTATCATGTGACACGGAAGACTGGAGTAATGATGCTAAAAATTCAGCTTTGCATCACAGGAATAAATTACATTTTAAAGTATATTCAAATAGAAAATATATTCAATTACTGATTTTACTGTGCTTTTTGATGAATAACATATATAAATGCAGTCCTAGTGAGACGACTTCCAAAACAAAACAAAAATGTTTTAGTTTGACAACAGTAGCATACAGAATGTGAGTATGTAAATGCAAATATACAACTTTAGAATCCGGTCGGCAATATTGACACATCGAAGTTATTCTATTCCAGCCACATACAGAACTGAATTGGACTGAATCCATACAGTCATTGAAGCTCTTTTTCACCTACATCTGTCCTTGTTTTTAGACATATCTCATTTAAATTATTTACAGTTTTCTATTAATTCCTCCACAGCGAGATGTGCAGGTGCACCATTATGCTGACACTTCTTATTGAATGCAGGAAATGTGATTTATTAATATAATATTACCGGATGACCAAAGAGAAATGCTGATGAGAATTATTGGATAATGATAAAATCTCGAAGTTCCTGTTGAGAAGTTAACAACTATCATTTCTGTTTTAGATGTATGTCTTACATTTAGGTATCACCTAAATCTTGAAACATACTTTTTTGGCCGCAAATAATTGCAGGCAAAATGTTCCCCCCACCAAAACAAAACTAAGAACTCAAGACATCTATAAGTAATCCCTGTTTGATATATCATACTCATAGACCATAATGCTGTTTCAGCAACAAGGCCATTAAATTAAGAGCTGCGCTAAGTTTTAATCACTTAAATGGAGACTCTCCCCTGAGATAATATTCTCCCTCATGCATACTACTACTGTATAATGCATTGCCTATGGAAAACATGCACAGCAGTTTCCAAATGACAAAATAAGTTGTTCATGGCTGCATGTTACTTTATACACTACCGTTAAACATTTGTGGTTTGTGAGATTTCTTTAAAGAAGTAATACTACATTCACCTAGTATTAAACAAGTATACATTTTAAGTCATGGTCAAAAGTGGCATTAAAGACTTTTACATTGTTACAAAATTTCTATTTCTATAAATAGTGCCACACAATTTATAATTTCCCTCCTGTCCTATGTCAGTCCTTGTTCTTGGATCTTGCATTTAAACTTCATGCAGACTGAGATTTTAGAGGGAGTTTCTGGCAGGCCCCAAAGGCCATGTCCTCTCTTGATGTATTGATTTCCCTCGTCTCACTGATGCCTGTGTCCGATTTAAACTCATGCATTAATAAGTGCAAACTCATCAGCTATCATCTTTGCACTCGGGTTTATAATGGGGAACATTTTTCATGTTATCTGTGTTTAGTATAATTCCTTTTCAATCCTGATGCACTATTTTCACATTAGTAGAAAATAGGGCTTACATGATATTACGTGATATGCTGATTAATCAATATTTTCTGAAATAAAGCCCCGAAGTTATCATTCAAAAGTAAAATAATAAATAATATGTGTAAAAAATGTATTGTTTTATTTAGCAAGCATGTAACCACTTTATAAAAGACCATTTTCAGCCAATACACCGGAAATATATGGTTTCTAAAGCTTTTTTAACAGTTATAGCGCCACCTATGGTCCGAACTCCATAACAGTTTGCATGCTTGTTTAGAATCATATGTCGCATGTTTTTACCTACTTTCTCAAGTTTTGAGCGTTCGTTTAGGAATGATAGGCTTTTAGGTGGACTTGGTTATGCCTATTTTCTAAATGATCCAGCTATATCCAAAGGCCAAAGTTAAAAAAAAAAAAATGTTGATCATTATTGACCTAGAGAGTCCCGAGAATTGTGCTGCAGTGGTTTTATTTAGGCTGAGCCAAAATACTTATTTCAAACTAATTTGATTGAAAGAGGCGATCCTAGAATCAAAGTTGCTCAGAATGAGGAGCTCCCCCATGCGGTATGAATGTCATCGGCATGTGCCGAAAATCACATGGTATTTGGAGTTTCTCACTGGCGTCTAGGACTGCGAGTCAACACCCCCAGCGAGTTTCGTTCCGATCGGCCTCTGTTAACCTTGTCTGAAAGCTTTTCAAATTTCATTTTGTCGCCACCGGCCGCATTCTTCGAGATACACAATTGTCCTCAAAGGCAGTCTTGGCACCTTCGACAAAGACACTGCATGCCAATTTTCATGTCAATCGGACTTAGGGTTGCATAGTTATAACCATTTTTATGGGGTTTTTTTCCGTTATAGCACCTCCAAGAGTCAAGTCGCTGCATGCTTTTTCACATGACCACAGAATTAACTCTTACATAGGTTCGCCAAGTTTGGTGAAAATATCTCATTCCATTGACAAGTTATAAAGACCCTTAAAGACTGTGAATCGAAATTTCAACTTTTTGGGGATAATTATTGACAATTCCAAGAATCTTGCGGCACTTGTTTGATTTGGATTGTGCCAAAAACCTAGGACTAGTTCACGAAAGTAGTTTTTTTACAAAAAATCCCACATACTTAAAAATGTGAGGCATGCATTTCGTTATAACACCCCTAATCGACGTTAAAGGTAAAGCGTCAGTTGTATGACGGCCCGGGATCGTCATATAACCGACGTTTAAGGCTACCCTAAAAAGGCGGATGTTGACGTATGGTCAAAAGACGTCCCAAGACGTCAGTTATATGATTTCTTGGGATGAGACTGTGTTAATAACACACTTGAGCCTTAAAGGAGTTCGGAGCGATTTCTGACTTTTCACCATTGTAGCGGCGCCCCCATCAGGCTGATCAGAGCAGGCCTTGTTGACGTTGTTTACAGTGTGAGTACTACCAATGACAAAAAGACTGTTACAAAACAGTAGCTCTAGAGCTCAATGTGTTGTTCTCTCCCCATATCATTTAATCAAAGCATGCCTAAAAGTCCTCAACAGTGCACTTCAAAGACCTTGACTTCAAACATTCAATGTTCACTCTGGTTTGAATGGGCACGAAGCTTCCGGTTACATGCGTTTGTGCAGCTGATGAGGAAACAGAGCTGCAAACACTACAGAAACGAACAGTCAAGATTTTTCACTTCGTGTTTATGTACGGAAGAGCCATAAAATAGTCATAATGGCCTTCCGCTAATGCACTTAAGAGCATGTTGAGGGACGCAGATTGAGGCATCATTGTCATGATATGGTAAATATATTATCTATCTATCAATCGATCCATATCTATCTATCTATCCATCTATCCATCTATCCATCCATCCATCCATCCATCCATCCATCCATTCATCCATCCTTCCATCCTTCCATCCATTAATCACTTTTTACTTTAGGTGTCTCCATTTTAGACAAACTTTAACAACTTCATAATAACTATCAAACATTATGGTGCTTTGGAATACTTGATTTTGAAAGGTCATTTACTGAATTCTGTTTCTGTGGTCAGGTATCCATGTGTAATGTCCACTAAACTGTCAGTTTCTCCCTAAAGAACCAATTTCCCTATATGTTTGCACTAGCATCATGTATCTCGTATTACTGTGTGGTCTCTGTCTTCTCACGTGGTAAAATAAGTCCAGCTGAAATCAATATTTCATACCGCTTTATCACATTTCTTTTTATTTATTTATTTATTTGGCAAGTAGCCATGCAATAAGTGCGAGGATGTACAGTCATCCTGTCATTATCACAAAACAAACCCCCCTTTTACGTAAACCCATTTTACAAAAATAAGACACCCCTCTTCTATGTCCAGGTATACTGTGATTCAAATCTGTATTTTTGTGTCATGTAATTGAATGAATGATTCACCAGTTCAACTGCTTCTAAACATACTCACATTATGGCTGGCTCATCATTGTGCATTATTGCTAGAGAGATGGAGAGAGAAGAGGGCGTGTCTGTGTCTAGAGATCAGACTCTTTCGCTACTCCATGAGGAGATAATGTCCGAGGAGGACCATGGCACACTCGTCCGTGGAGACCAAAGCCGCAGGAGGTTTCCATACGGTTGATGTTGTTGTAGAGGAATTTCTAACATAGTGACTTTAATCTGCTTTTATTTTAAAAGGATATTATTTGAAAGGATCCGTAGTGCAGGCATGACTGTACGGTTTACATTTGTGGTTTGTTTACAGCTTAGTGCATCAGTGATTACCTGCGAGCCTACTGGAATTCAGAATTGTTCCGAGAATGGAGTCTTTAAGAACTTGTTGCAGCAAAGTAGTTTGAAGAAACATTGATCAAACAAGATGAGTTGCTTTTCCTAAATTCGTTCATTTCGGCATCTAGCATGACCTCTTGACCTTTGTTCATTTTCTTAAAGGAATCGCATAGCTAATCGCAGTTGCAATGGTTATTCAGGGCATGGAGTTGTTTGCAGTTGCTGTAGTGCTGCTTATGTTTATAATGGTGCTCAAACAGTTTGGGGTCACGGATCCACTGCTGGATGGTAAGAACCACCATATGGTTTTGATGTTGGCCCAGTTCACTGTAAATTTGCAGTAGGAGCTATTTATACCAGATTATTTAAAATGAATTGCATTGGTGAAACAAGTGCACTCTAACGTTCAAAAGTTTGGGGTTGGTATGTCTTATTCTATCCAAGGCTGCATTTATTTGATCAAAAATACAGTAAAAGCAGTAATATTGTGAAATATCATTTACTCTTTTTTTTATTGATTTGATGCTCAAGAAACATTTCTTATTGAAAACAGTTGTGCTGCTTAATATTATTTGTGATTCTAATGTTATAATTATGTTTACTCTCACTTTTGGTCAATTAAAAGCTCCATTTCTGAATAATTTCTTTCAGGAAAAAAAAAAAAATCTTAATTACACCAAACTTCTGAATGGTAGTTGTAGGTTGAAGCCGTCATATTTTTGACTTGAATAATAAGAAAAACACTTTTTTTGTTAACTGATAAAACTTTTCTTCTGCTCATATGTTGCTAGTCTTATCAATGTTCTATTTGCATCAGCTTTAGTCTGTAAAGTCCTTTTTGACAGAGAGACTGCACATTAACCGAGAAAAACATTTTATGTCATGCAGTTTTGGTACAATCCAACTAATGTGTTGTTTTTCCATTGCTTTTTTCTTTATTTCCTCTCTAAATCTCTTCCTTACCTTCTTTGTTCTTGTTTGCCTCATAGATGGTGAGTAAATGTCAAACAGATCAGCGGTTCTCAACTGGTGGGTTGCAGATTTGTTCTAACAAAGGATGTGGGAAAATAAATGCAAAATCCAAAAAAAAAACATACTTATTTCAGCAAAAAAGCATCCGTCAATTGATAAAAGCCAAATTCCAGCATGTGTATGTTGTGTTACAAGCCTCATCCTCAGACACCATGAACAAAACTAAAGATAAAAAATGTGATATGGGTGAATTACAAAAAAAAAAAAAAAAAAAAAAAAAAAATCTGTTAATCTTATGTTGTGTTAATCGTTTTTATACTGTTTGGGCCTATATGGATTTCATTATTATCCTTGCGAAAAAATGTGTGCATGCAATTGAATATACTTCAAATCTTAAAAGTATTAAAAAAAAGTATTTGCAGATAATATAGTAATGATATAAAAGGTATCTAAAGTTAAGAGAAAATCATATTTTAGTTTGCCATAAATAATTGTCAGTATTTGGCAGTATACTAACCATATTAAAAAAAATAAATAAATATAGTAATAGTGAAATTACAAATAAAGATGTAAAGTACTTACTGGGTCAATTAAAGTGCCCTAAAGTCCAGTAGCACCTCATTGGAGTACACAAGATCCAGGGGCGGAGTTGGATCTGGATTCAACTCCTCCCCCTGGATTTCGTGACAGAATTTTAATTTTTGGGTGAACTATCCCTTTAAGTGCTAACTGAAAGTTTTTTGTTTTTTGTTTTTTTCCATAATAATGATAAAGGGTGATGCATTTCAGTGTTTCATTTTAAGGACATTTTTGTTTCATTTGTGCTAAACAATTTTGGTTCCCCACTTGATTTCCAATTACAAATCTGGGCCCTGAAGCAAAACCAGTAGAGAATCGCTGATATTGATCCCTCCTGGTCTCCCGTTCTGCCCCGTCTGTCTCCCCAACAGCTCCTCTTCTGTGGTTTACAGTGTCTATGGCCGCATTTACACTGCAGGTATTGATGCCCTCTTTTTTTTTCTTTATGTTTTTGATGACCCGCTTGCATTTTCTTTTTAAAGTGACCCATATACAATATCTGCATTTAACACTATACATTTGGTGAAACAGCCCAAGGTAGACGCACTGACCCAGAAAAACGTAGGCAGACAACGACGAAAAAAAGGTGTGATTTTGCAATGGACGCAGACAAAATGACAATACAAGCTTTTGCTTTCCGCAACATCTTTAAAGGTCAGCCAAACATATGCCTGAGCCTTCCTCTGTTGTGCCATTGAAGAGTCATGTGATCACAGTAGTGTCCACCTGAGTTGACGTCATTTGAAACCATCTCTTTTTCCATGATGAATGACTCGGGAATGTCCAATCTGTCCACTTACATGGCAAACACAAATGCACATATCTGATTCATATCAGATTTATTTCCACATGTGAATGAGGCCTGAAACCGTTCTGAGAATATTGGAATCCATGCGATTTTTTTCATGCTTAGACGTTCAAGGGTTATATCCAACCTATGACACATGGGAGGAAAAAATCTGAATTGAGTCACTTTAACCATGTAATGTAAATGCGGCACATTTCTGTCTTCTTCTTTTAAACCCCAAATATGTGGCTGTCCTTCCACCTGCACTCCACGCTTTACCTGTTTAGCTCAATGCAACCCAACTGATATCAGTCCCTCACCTCCTCTTCCCACTCTTCCTCATGCTCTTTCTCTGACAGACACCGTTGAAAGTGATCTGGAGTTGTCCATGGTCCGACATCAGCCAGAGGGCCTGGAGCAGCTCCAGGCTCAGACCAAGTTCACTAGAAAGGAGCTGCAGTCACTTTACAGAGGCTTCAAAAACGTAAGACTGCTTAAGAATCTTAAAGAGATAGTTCACCCTAAAATGAAAATTGTCATCATTTGCTTTAAATCAAGAAATCAAGATGAACCTAAAAGCGATTTGAAATAAAATGCTTAGAAATCCACAAAAAGTATCTGTGTACTTTCTTCCCTGAGTTGAATGTCTCTGGGCTGGAACTGTTTGTCTGATGAGAGTCAGAAAGACAGCTGACAGATGTGAACAAAATAAATGTATTTTTTTTAATTATTATTATTCATCTTCATTTCTCACTACTTGTGTGCTTTTATTCCGGTGAGTTTGAGTGAACTGTGATGCTAGCTGAGTCTCACGGACACGTAGCCATGCACAGGCCAATGGCCAAGGTTAGGATTTTCGTTAAATAATACCTACAATTTTGTTTTGTTTTTCAACAAACCCTAATGTATACCACCAGAACAAATGGAATATACAGCGCATGTCGCATGGGACCATTCTGTGATATTTTTGCATCTTATTTTTAAAAGCTTAATGGTAATCACTGTCCGTTTACACTCACCTAAAGGATTGTTAGGAACACCATACTAATACTGTGTTTGACCCCCTTTCGCCTTCAGAACTGCCTTAATTCTACATGTCATTGATTCAACACAGCCCATTCTCACCCCCAAGGCGTCACTTAACTGACGCCTTGGGAAGCATTTGGACATGCTTCAATATCTGACGCTTTAGACGCCCTTTAGCGTCAGTTAGATGACGCCATAGGATCGCGTGTACCCTACCCCCACCCCACACCTAAACCTAACCGCGTCCTCTAACTGACGCTTTCCTTTAGCATCAGTTAGATGACGCCGTAGGATCGCGTCATGTAAGTGACGGTAAAGGGCGCCTAAAACGTCAAATATTGAAGCATGGTCAAAGGTGACGCCTTGGGGTGAGAATGCGTTGTTCAACAAGGTGCTGAAAGCATTCTTTAGAAATGTTGGCCCATATTGACAGGATAGCATCTTGCAGTTTTGGAGATTTGTGGGATGCATATCCAAGGAATAAAGCTCCGGTTCCACCACATCCCAAAGATGCTCTATTGGGTTGAGATCTGGTGACTGTGGGGGGCATTTTAGTACAATGAACTCATTGTCATGTTCATGAAACCAGTTTGAAATGATTCAAGCTTTGTGACATGGAGCATTATCCTGCTGGAAGTAGCCATCAGAGGATGGGTACATGGTGGCCATAAAGGGATGGACATGGCCAGAAACAATGCTCAGGTAGGCCGTGGCAATGGCACTAAGGGCCTAATGTGTGCCACGAAAACATCCCCTACTCCATTACACCACCACCAGCAGCCTGCACAGTGGTAACAAGGCATGATGGATCCATGTTCTCATTCTGTTTTTGCCAAATTCTGACTCTATCTGAATGTCTCAACAGAAATCGAGACTCATCAGACCAGGCAACATTTTTCCAGTTTTCAACCGTCCAATTTTAGTGAGCTCTTGCAACTTAGCAACGTAGCCTCTTTTTCCTATTTGTAGTAGAGATGAGTGTGGTACCCGGTGGGGTCTCCTGCTGTTGTAGCCCATCCGCCTCAAGGTTGTGCGTGTTGTGGCTTCACAAAATTATTATTATTATATCTTGTCATGTTTCTAAATAGGAGTGTCCCAGCGGATTGGTGGATGAGGAGACGTTTAAATCGATCTATTCCCAGTTCTTCCCTCAAGGAGGTAGGGTGATTGTTGCGTTTTAAACTCTGGTTTGATAATGTGGATGTAATCTTAATAAGTGAACAAGTGAAGTAATAAATGAATTCACCCAATATGAAGACACAAATGTAAAAATATATAATATAAAATATGAAATAATATACACAGTATGTGTGTGTGTGTGTGTGTGTGTGTGTGTGTGTATATATATATATATTAGTTAGAATATTAATAGAATGAATTAGCATTCATTTATTTTAATCTATTCATTAATTATTCTTTTCAATTGTGTTTCATCAAATTGTGTTTTATCAAAAAAAATTATATAGTTATTTATTTTAATTTTTTTTATTGTAGTTGTTTAATAATCTTTACTATTTTTCTAAAATGTGGAAAAGTTATAATAATGAATATGTAGGTGTTAAAGTTAAAATCCAAATATTTATGCAGAAATAGTTAATCATTCTTTTTTTTTTTTTTCAGATGCCACCACATATGCACATTTCCTCTTCAATGCTTTTGACATGGACCGAAACGGCTCTATTCGCTTTGAGGTTAGGAATATTGTTAAATACCATTAAATATTATTAAAACAAAATAATCTGTCATTTGAAAGACTTCAGCTTTGTAATAACACTGTATTCAACTTAAATGCTTATAAAGATGAACAATAATATCTGCCTAAATTATTATATAATTATATAATATAATATCTGCCTGAATTTCCCCAGTGTGGGATTAATAAAGTCTACTTACTCACTCTTACTTATTTACTATACATCTTGAGGCCAGAGGAACAAAATATTACTTTCAGAATTGCTAATGGTATTTTACTAATATGTTCTCAATAGAACACAAGTGTTAGTCCAACAGACCAACACAACTGGGAATATTTAAATGAATTATTTGTAAACGTGTTTTGGCAGGACTTTGTAATAGGCCTGTCTGTTCTGCTTCGAGGTTCTGTGACAGAGAAACTGAGGTGGGCCTTTAACCTCTATGACATTAATAAAGACGGCTACATCACCAGAGAGGTATGAAAGGCAAGTGTTAACAGACTGGCCATTGTTTCCTTAGTACAAATATGTATTTGCTATTGTTCCTACTTTCTACAGGAAATGCAGGCTATCATGAAGTCCATCTATGACATGATGGGCAGGCACACCTCTCCTAGTGTCAAAGATGATGCTGCATTTGAACACGTGGAGAAATTCTTCCAGGTACCAAACTTTTAGCAGTCCAATGGAAAGTTATTTCAGCCAGCCGTTATTTGGTCATCTGCTTAACCAAACTCTCAAAACACCTTTGTTGTTTCACAGAAAATGGACCGGAACAGAGACGGAGTTGTGACCATTGATGAGTTTATAGAGACCTGTCAGAAGGTAGGCCAGGTTTAAAAGGGGTCATATCAAGAAATCAAGCTTATTTGAAAATATACTTTAACTTGCAGAGCTTAACTTCCTCCCCAGTCTAAAAATGACATTTATCAAAAACCAAGCTACAAAAACAGCTAATTCAGAAATACTTTTGAAATAGTTAACATAGGGCCGCTCATATTTGTAAATTAGCTGACCGATTGTTTATGATGGATACTGGTCATGAAATACTATCTGAATTGTTTTGGCACAAAAATCTGGACCAACATTATACAGTAAGAGAAACTTAGAGGGCATTCAAGAAAATAAAAATAAAAAATATATATATATATATATATATATATATATATGATATGAACCCTCTGAAATCATAATTTTCATGGCCTTTCTCTCTAAGTGAGGCTCCTCGACATGCATGGTAATAATAATAATTGTTATTTTATTTTTTTTGTATTACAAAAGTATGCCACTTGGTTTTTATTTAAAAAATAAATTATAGACTGTTAATTTTGTCATAAAAAGTGCACAAAAATAATATTTTTAATTCTTAATTGAAATATATATTTACCAAAAACAAGTTTTCCTCTAAAATTGCAAGGAAAATCATACATTATAATCATAGTCAAAACATAATCAATACAAATCAACATTAATCTAAACAATTTTTGTTCCAAATTTGAGGTTGATATCTTAAAAAATGAGCTTTCAGTAAGATTTCGTTTGTTCATTCCTAGATGAAATTCGTTTCCCATTCATTTCCATTGTGGTAATTTCTACCACGAGGAGGAAAAGTGACTTTTTCTTTAAGACTCAACCTTTTCGAACCATGTCCATGATTTTTTGTGTGATCATATAGGAAGTGCCAAAACATTTAACAAATTTTGTACAGTAAAAAAAAAACAAAAAAACATTTGAAATATTTTGGAATTTAGGAAATTCGTCGAAAATCAAGTTACAAAAACAGCTTGTAATTTGAATTACTATAGGAACACACATATTTGTCCACATTATAAATCAGCTTGGCTGATTCTGATTAAATTATATTCTTTTATATAATATAGTTTTGCCCAATAGAAAATAATAATAAACAAGACTTTAATAAGAGGATGGAAAATGGTCATGAAATTCAAAATTGAGTTTTTCTGTCACAACAATGTGGACTAACATTATACAGTAAGTGTACCTTAGAAGTAAAACATGTTATATGATATAATTATGATATGACTCATGTTTTCATGTCCTGTCTAAGTATCTGGGGTTCTTCACCATGCTTTGACTGAGGCATCAGTCAGATAAATGTCAGCATTAGACTGATCTATGTTGATATGGAGGCTCTCACTGACAGCTAGACATTTTCTAAACTCTTTCTAAGATGAAGCTGTCAGCAACAATCTGCGACTGACGCTTTTTCTCCTTTGCTAGGACGAGAACATTATGAGCTCCATGCAGCTGTTTGAGAATGTCATCTAGAGCGCAGCATGAAGTGCAGAATGATCCTTGCTCTTTTTCCAGCATTGTTCCATTAGTCCTCAAGCGCTCCACGGGGACTCTCTAGAAACACTTCTGTTTTGCACCTAGGCCCTGTAGCATGTGAATGAACATTTTGATTGATTGTATTGAATGCTATCACCGGATGTGGGCCGCCTGCGAGTGTGCCATTACTGTATGTCTCAATTTAATCTAGTATGTCTCTAAAGTATTCAAGACAGGTTTATTCGCTCATTTGTATATATGTAGATATATATGTGCCCTTAAACTTGCATGTTTGCCCTGCTACTTGTCTGGCCCATTGTAATTTTATACTAAGAAATAAAGGCATCCGTGAATGACTCCATGATTTGCGCATGTCCATAGGTGGGAATGTGGAATTCATTCAGACATCTCCTTGGGCGTCATATAGTGACGCTTTTGAAATTTCGACTAAATCCAACGCACATGGCACCCTGAAAATTAATTAGACCTACTGATATTTTTTCACACATCTTTTCGCCCCCTAGTGGTGAAAATCAAGTTCTCAATTTGTTTATATGTCTATGGTGTTTTTAATGTGCTTTTATGTCCAAATTCATATAAGCTGCATATTTTGTCCGAACAAAGTCTTTTGCATTTTACAGCGGGTGAATCTTTAGTTGTTTCTGGTAATTGTCATTTGAACCTTTCTGGATCCACCATCAAAAGTTTAATTATATCAAGTCCTGTGAGAAAAGGCTATAAATCTCCACCTCCAGCATCCTCACACACAATATAGCTTATACTAGCCGAGACTCTTCTTTAAGTGTACAGATGTGACGTAAAATATTGTTGGTTTAACCTAAAAATTAAGTAACCTGGTTGCCTTAAAATTTTAAGTTGATTGAACTGGAAAAAGTGAGTTAATACATTAAAGGAGATCAGAAACTCAAAATAACAAGTTATCTGAACTAAATAAATGATTTAAGTTGATTTGACAAAAGAAAAAATGTTGTGATAACAAATCTTTAAAATATTTTTTTACAGTGTTTTCTTATGAAATGAGATTTTAAATGTAGTCTCCAAATACGTTTGGTAACACTAACTGTATCACAGAGATCCTGAATCCATTTGTATTTAGTTTAGCTTCCACAAGGTGGCAATGCTGTGCTCAAACCTGCTTGTTGCCAGAGTAATGAATGAAACTCAGAACATACACAAGAGAAAGCAGCCATTGTCAAGTCATTGTTCCTCCTCGTGTCTGAACAATAATCGCATTATCCTCATTGATTTAGCTCACTCTGGTTTAACTGTCAAAAGTGTTCACACAATAAAACACAATGTGTTATTAACATCTCAACCTATAAAGTTTCCTCTTTTATGGGTCACCTGGATTCCTCAAGCACAGAGAAACAATTCTGTGCTTTATCAAAATCAAAGTATTTTAAGAAAGATTTACATTATGGCAATTCCCATAAAATGTGGAAATTATGACTTATGACTCTTACAATAGCAATTATTTCAAAAATCCTAATATACAAACATGTGTACATCATGCATATTTCTGCTGCTTTTATTTATTTGGAAAAGTTTATTTCAGTTTATGTGTTTACTGTTAATCATGTCTGCACACGGTGTGTTAACATCTGCCCTGTTTATGTTCTCGGCCAAGCGAACTTCCTGTCTGGCCCAGCAAACCACCCGAGCGTTGGGGTTTCTGTGTAAGTAATTATCTCTACGTGTGCAGAATTGTGGTCGGGGGCTGTGTGCGCATATCTGTGGCACTTGGGAGGAAGTCTGACCTGAGTGAAATAAGCTGTAACTTCCTGACTGAGCATTTGCAATGAGGAAGAGTCTTACAGGGAGGGGCAAAGGATCCTGTAGCTTGTCAACGACACACTTTCATCCCACTGCACAGCTGTTTTCATGCTGAATTCCAAGACTTCCATATTTCCATCCACATTACCATCACTTTCTCTGATGCGAGTGTCAGAGTCTGGCTTGGTTTCACTTACTTTGCTGGATTTCCACACGTGCTGCTTGTACAGTAAGTCACCTGCTTCGGCATCTTGACCTTTACAGGTTCTTTACCAAAGATATAGTTGAGATAGACTGAGATCTTGTGCTGCATTTGAACTTAGAAAATGTTGGTTTAAACTAACTTCAGCTCTCTGTGAAAATTCTGTGGTGAAGTTTTTGCTTACTTGTGATGTACTTGCAATTTTGTGTGAGAAATGTGTTACAGTAAATCATGCTAAATATAATATTAGGCCTAAATGTGTGTTTACTTCCATATAGTTTTATATAGTATGGTGTGAGACAGTTCAAATCGTCTTTTAGTGTATGTATGCATGTGTGTGTAGGTAGGTTTATAGTACATTGTGGGGACCAAATATACACAAGGATAGTAAAACCTGAGATCACCTACATCGTGGGGACCAGCCAGTGGTTAATAACATACTAAATTATATATTTTTGAAAAGCTTAAAAAAAAAAACAGCTTAAAACCATTACATTTATTGAAAGTCCCCACAAAGATATTGAACCTGACGTGTGTGTGTGTGTGCGTGTGAGAGAGAAAGCGTGAGAATCTTGCCTGAAGTCGTTCTGCGATTATGAGGCAGAGTCATAAGATTCTCTTCTGATCACAGAGACCCTTTTCAATTCATCCCTTCATTCTTTACAGGCCTTCCTAGAGTTTCTGCACTGGCCCAACATGGACGCTGTGGATTCTGACAAGATCCAGGTTGGAGAAAACAAATTTGTAAACAAGTAAGTCCATCTTGTAATGTTATTGCATAGGTATCTTGCTCTCGCTGTTCTCATAAACTTAACTTCATTTTCTTTTTGTTTGCAGGAGCGTTATTCTCTCACACCTTCAAACGTATAACCTTTATTATGAAGGAGAAAGTCTCCAGCTGAGGCACAGAGAGGTTAGTAGGACAAATGTAGCCTGTTGTATTGATGTCAGACAGCTGATGACTAAAGTGACTTGTCAATTTCACAGGAGGAAGGAGAGTTGATCATAGAGGGCTTGCTCAATGTTTTTTGGGGTGTGCGGCGGCCAATCAGACTGCAGATGCAAGATGAGAAGGAGTCAATCAGGCCACATCCCTCACTAACATCTCTGAGCGATGAAACAGACATCAACACAGTCAAGTCAGATATTATTTATTTTTATTTTTACATTATAAGTAATTTTTATTATTGATCATATTGTTTTTGGTGCTTTCTGGTTAATGTTTTGGGATATATATATGTAATTGCAACAGAAATTAATTTAAAAAAATGTTTATTGGTTTGGTTGGTATATTGGTTTATTTCAATTCACAAAATTCATTCAGAAAGCGGAACCAAAATACTTAATTAACCTGATACTAGTGTGTTAGAAATGTTTACTGACCTTGTCCACACAAACATAATTTAAAACTTTTACAGGCCTGTACATTTCAAAAGTATGGAGTCGTCAGCAAGATTTTTTAATTGTTTTTGAAATAAGTGTCGAATGCTCACTAATGCTGTATTTATTTGATCGTAAATATAGTAAAAACAGTGAAAATAATATGGTGAATTTTTATTTAATTTAATGTTATACAATGTCATTTATCCCTGTAATGGTAAAGCTGAATTTTCAGCATCAATACTGCAGTCTTCACGTGTCACGTGATCCTTCAGAAATCATTCTAATATGCTGATTTGCTGCTCAAGGAAAATTCTTATTATCATCAATGATGAAATCAGTTGTGCTGCTTAATATTTTTGTGTAAATCATGAAACATTTTTCTACAATTCTTTAATGAATAGAAAGTTTGAAAGAACAGTGTTTATTTTGAACTATCTGTTATATTAATTCATACAAGTAATTTCCACTTTTAATTCCTTTGATTGTCCTTTCTGAATAAAAGTATGAATTTCTTTAAAAATGTATAGGCTGCTGAACCCAAACTTTCGAACAGTAACGTTATGGAAAGCTGGTAAAACAAGAGTCTACCATCATTCACTTTTCCATACATTATAGTAAAGAGTCCTAGTGGACTCGTTGTTTATTCTGAGCGTTTGCTTGTCTGATACCTTATGCTTACAGTAGACTATGTGGGGCTCTCGGGATTCTGATTGGCTGTCATTGTTTTTGCGCTTGCAGTTTAATAACCACTAGAAAATAGCCGCTCCAGTTGTACATAAAAGGTTAGTCTACTCTCGAACTCTTTCATGAAAACTAGCATGATAAACCTTACTAAAATAATTGAATAACAATTAAAAAGGAATCTACCTGTATGAAAATGATGACACTGATGACACGAGACTCATGAATTCATTCGGCACGACCCCCACAGTGCATTATGGATATTCCGTAGCTTTTGTACACTCGTTATTGTCGTGCATGATGGTCTCGTATCGGATGGTATAACATATGGATAAGCTACATCAGCCCGTTCTCATCCTTTAACGTCATAGAAAGCTATATGCAAAAACGGCGCAGTATACGCACATGGCACCCTTTATCGTTAATATAACACGCGAACCCAAGACGTTATAATCCTTTAGCGTGAATATGACACGCACACCCTACCCCACACCTAAACTTAGCCCTCACCGCGCGTGTTATAACGATAACGGGTGCCATGCGTAGCGCCGTTTTGTCATATAGCGTTCTATATGACGTTAAAGGATGAGAATGCGTTGGTATAACCTATCCTATAACGTCCATTCCCACAAGTACATTGGTTGAGCAGAAGTTCCAAAAATTGCCCACCTCAAAAAGGAAACTTCATAGATAATGGTCAGGGGATCTCTGGATAATCCGTACAGTAATTCGTTTCTAATGCACAAAACTTAGCTAAAAAAAAAAGCTAGCTACTCAATAAAAAAAAAGCTAAAAAAAAAAAAAAAAAAGCTAGCTACTCAATAATTAAGCACAAAATGATGAGCTCAGAACTCTTGCCCCATAGACTCACCAGAATATCATTTTAATTAGGGTTCCTGCTTTCTTGCCTTTTAGAAATGATGAAACAAATCAGCCGTGTATTTCTGCAACAGATGACCAATCAAACGACTCGGGTGAAGAGAAGGGAGAATCAGGTGGATACATTCTTGACTTTTTCTAAAAAAAAAAACTTCACAGGGTTCACTGACTATTCTTTATATTTGAATGGCAGTGTGATTTGGTAAAGTCTCATCTGGCAGGTGAGGGCCAGAAGGAGTCGACACACTCGGATCGGGTCACCAGGACCAGGAGTGATGTCAGCGCGAGGAGAATCAGTGGACGCCGACTTGGCATCAGGAGAGTCAAGAGACACAGATGCTCCTTCAACGGACACTTTTATAACCACAAGGCAAGCGTCATGTTTTGTAAAGTGGTACGTTATTAAATTCTTGCTCACTTTTGCTCACATTTGATTGTTTGAGACAGACAGCGGTTTTTACGCCGGCGTTCGGCTCTGTGACCAACGTCCGCATCAACAGCTGCATGACGACGGCACAGGTAATGCGGGTGTTGCTGAGCAAGTTCAAGGTTGAGAACAGCCCAGATGAGTTCAGCCTCTATCTTGTCCACACGAGTGGCGGTACGTCCTGACTCAGTTCACATGTGTCATGTTGTTCTTTTATTTGTGCCTCAGTTCATATTTCTTATCATCTCCTGCATCCAGAGAGACATCAGCTGAAGCCCAGTGATCATCCTTTGGCGGTCAGAGTTTTGCAAGGTCCTTGTGAACAGGTCAGCAAAATGTTCCTAATGGAGACGGACCAGGTGGAAGAGGTCACCCATGACGTAAGAGACCAAATCTATCTATCTATCTATCTATCTATCTATCTATCTATCTATCTATCTATCTATCTATCTATCTATCTATCTATCTATCTATCTATCTATCTATCTATCTATCTATCTATCTATCTATATCTAAAATTAAATAAATAAAATATTTAAACGATAAATACATAATTACATTAATAATAACATAAAACCATAATAATTCATTTTAAATTAAAAAAAATATTATTTTTACCATATTTTGAGGATTAGTATATTCTTATCTCTGAATTAAAGTTTTTTTCTTAAATGTTACAGTAAAGATGATAATAATCTTAAATGTTAAAGATGATAATAAAATGTAGCAATGAATGCAAACTAATGCTAATGTTTGGTGATTTATTTAATAAGTCATTTATTAAATGTTTAAATTAACATTATTTTTTATTAACATTATGAATTTAATGAATGCTTTAATTTTGAGTTGCTGTATTTATTTATCAAAATAAAATATGTAAAACAAATATATTTTCCAGACTGATAATATAATAGATATTTTAGATATAATTAGATTTATTTCCAGTAAAACAAAATTACATTGTTATTGAAAATGCACATTGCATTGTTAGATTTAATATTCTACCCAATGTGTCTGTTTGTATACTGCACATTTTGGCTGATGTAGCAGATCATAACATTTGGATACTGTAATATTCCTATTTATTGCAGAAATAAGTGTTAGTGTGGCTATCAGAATTCAGCCAAACTACACAGTAGTGCAAGTTTGGATATTATTGTAATACTTAATGTTGTCCTCAAGGTGGCACAATACATCAAGTTTGAGCTTCCTGTTTTACAAAGCTTCATTGCTAAACTGCAAGAGGAAGAAGAAAGAGAGATGCTGAAACTGAAGAAGAGGTACAGTTTATCATACATAACAAAAAAAACACTGATACATGATTTCTAGAGTCATTTGAAATCTCATTTCCTTTCTGTGTTCTTATTTCCTGTTAACTCAGGTACGCTGATTTGCGCCGTATCATCAAGAGATACATGAAGTCTTTAGCTGATAAAACTACTTGATGATGCAAGCACCAAAAATGGCGCTATCTCAGGATCAGGAACATATCCTTACTTTAGTTTGGCTTTCTATGAGCCTGTTATTGTGTTCATGTAGCCTATTACAATATCATAATACAGAAATATCCAAAAGTACCATGGCTTTCTCTAAATAAGCTTTATTGGATAAACAGCAGATAGACAGATACTTTCTTTTTCACAAAGGAAGTCAAATGGGTCGATGTCCGACTTTTATGCACAATTGTAATGAGCCATAAGAGTGTTTATTTTTCTAGTTATTAAAAATCTGACAGACAATGTGAAACGAAGAGAAATAATTTGTAAATCTAATCTATTTGCCTTATTATATTGCAGACTATTTGTTATGTTTGTTAGTATTAAAAATATTTAATATCTTTAATTTGTGAGGCGGTTTACAAGTGTACTGTGTATGCACAGATTTTTGATTTTAAATAAAAAAAATACAGAATGTATTGTGTGAACTCGCATGCACATTTACCTCAGTGAAAGATCTCATTACATTTCAGTGATCCCTAGTTGTCTAATATTAATATGTTTCTCATGAGTCTCATGGGTCTGTTTAAGCAGTAGAGATGAAAATAACAGTCCATTTACCACGAATATGTCTTACGCCACACTGCATCGCTCCACATTGCAAAGGTTGTCACGATTAATACCGTTCCAAATTATCCTAGATCCTACTTAGATCCTCGAGATAATCCCGCGGTAACTAAAGAGCCTATCCTTTAGTCGTGCCTTTAAGAGTTAGGTGATCAGTCTCTACAAATTCGTATTCTATTATACAGATAATAAATTATAAATATAATAGATTTCCCCTTTATAGTATAAGTCTACCTTTTTAGGTACTCTTGGACCGTGTCTGCTATACAACAATAACTCTGCTGTAAGCTGCCTCTTTGGCTAGGCTATTTAATCAATCAAGTCTCACAGTGAACATCATTACATCAAAAAAGAGTTCTCACCCTCCTGTAGATTCTTCTAGTTGGGATCCTTCTGATCCAAGGAGAAGAAAGCAAAAGTACTCAAGAATCCAAGGTCCAGTCGAGATTGATAATAATAAATGTTAACAGAATTCATTAAAAGAATCAAAATGAAAAGAACACTTGTTACAGATTCAAGGTAATTCTAACAGAGTAATATTAGCTAAGCATACGGCTTCTTGCATTCGATAACTGCTGGTATATCGAACTGGAGGTAGCAAGGAAGAGCAACGTGTCTCATCCAGGTTTCTCTTTTATAGTATAAATCAAGCTGTCATCAGCATGGTTGATAAGATACACTCCACCAGGCGCATGACTGTCAGCTCCTCATCACGGGTTTGGCTTGCTGATCCCAGCAAACTCAGAAGATCCATTATATTTATGAACAAACATCATATTCAATACTTCATCACATGATAAAGGGGAACACCCAGATAGACAACATTCTATTCATTCAACATAATTTTTTAGATTAGTGAGCAACAGGTTATTCATTAAGCATAGCATGCTAGATAGTTGTACAATTCACAAGTAGAGCTAGCTCATTAAACACAGACTTCTTATTGTGACCTTTTCTGCGCTTACGATGAGTTGAAGAGGTAACTGAGGCGAAGGTAATACCATCCTCAGGTGGGCACTTGGTGCGAGGGTTCGGTACAACATTAGGCATGACATTTCAACATAAGGATCATTTTTCCATGTGGAATAAAGACTTAATCTCGCCTAATATATTTGATTAGTTTCTTTAACACTCCTAAGCACTGATCTATTACCATTACAACTAAGATTTGAGAACTTAATGGTCAGAGATAATAGACATGAGGGGGAAATCGAGTGTGGAAGCGATGAGATGTAAATCTTATTAGAAATTGCTTTAAAATGAGTAAAGACCACTCTAGTACCAAGCACTAATTCATCCTTTATTGAGGCTTTGTTCTCAAGTGGGCACGGCCTTTGAGCATCCCTGATTGCTCATTGGCTCCTGTGTAGTGAGTGAAGGTTTCATAAGGTGGTTGTTTACAACATAGCAGATTCTCACAGTAAGACTGGGCAGTTCAAGCACTGAAGAGAAGCCACTGATCATCACCCGGTAAGATTTATTACATTTATAAATCATAGATAGGATTTTCAAAATAAGGAAGATGATAAATGATACATGAGGCAACACATTTAGTACATCAAATCTAATGAAATGTATCCTATAAACTTTTCATTGGTTTAATTTATTTATTTATTTTTCATATTACAGTAATAGATTGAAATAGCCATGGTAATGTCATTGATCTCACAATGGTTGTCTATGTAATCAACGTGGCTGACTATGTAATGCAATATAACAATTAATATACTGTATGGCACAACAAGTGGGTCACTGTGTGTCAGCAAATCATGCGTAGCACTAATTCTAGGTGAGCTTTGACAATTGAAACACCAGTCAGGACGTGTGTTTGTTGTCAGTGTTCAGCACTTGTTTATATGTGTAATGGTGCGTATAATCAGATTCAGATGACCTGTGCCACTCTCCGCACTGTATTGTCCGAACTGACCAAGGCTGTTTCTGTTTAGAATAATTCTGTTGAATTAAATATTCAACAATACATTTTTTTTAAATAAAAATGTTTATTTAATGTTATTTTAAAAAAATAAACAAACATTAAATTTTTTAAAATAAACATACTATAATATTCAATGAATAAAACGTAAATAATAAAAACAATATTTTAAAATTAATTCTAAATAAAACTTAGCACATATTCATAAAAATAAATGTATTTAGAATAACTTTGAACATAAGAAATATTTATCATTTGAAAAGGAGGTTCTTTCTACTTCAAAATGTAGTGTTTAATTCAATGTGTTACTTGCCCTTTTTGTATTTATTTGTGAAAATAGTTTCTACACCATTTTTTTTCAGTGCTGGTTGTAAGTAGAACCCAAAATTGTGTGAATAAATCCAGTTTATGAAACGATTTGTAAATCGATGTATTTGCCACTACTACTATTTGTCAAAAGTGTTTATATTATTAAAATATTTAATAATCTAACTTGTTAACATTAATGTACAGTATTAACTTAGGCTACATGAACTGCTATATTATTACAGCATTTATTATTATCTCCACCGTCAGGCCAGAAACTCTGCAGCGCGCTTGATTATATCAAACATTAGTGTGACTGGTCATATTCATCCTCACAGTCACGCAAACCCGAACCACAACCAAAACAACGTTCGTCCGCAAAATGCATGCAGTTTCGTTTTTTTAATTGCTCGAGCTGGCCAAAAGCTACACAGTGCACCTTTAACAAATTAAACCTATTTAAATCGATGTAATATAATTCTAGGAACCTTTATTAAAATGTGTATCAAGATATAAATTAGTTTCCGTTGTCTTTTGAAAGGACCTCTAATCATGATAGGCAATCAGAAGCTCCTGGTCATGTGGGTGTGCATGTTACTGGTGGTGTCGTTGTTTCCTTTGGCCCACTGCAAACGTGGAGGTGGACGTGGTGGCAGAGGCGGACTGGGTAAGCCGGCCAAAGCCCCTTCCCAGAACAAAGGCTTGAAACTGGCAGGTGCCGCCGTCGCGGGGGCTCTCGGAGGAGCAGCCATCGGATACGGGCTGGGCTCTCTGGGCAGACCGAGCTACGAAGATGGAAGCAGGCGCAATTACCCCAATGGACCTGGAAACCACAGTCACTCATACTGGGAGAATAAAAGGAACACTGGCAGCTCAGAGCAGGCCAGCATCCTCATAGTACTAGGAACAGTGACACACATATTTATGTGGGGATGAATTACATTTGTTTTGCTGAGAGACTATTTCATAGTGCAGAAAGGCTATCATTTTCTTTGATGAAGTGAAACTTATTTATTACGAGGATGAAATATGAAATGTGAGACAGTGATGACTTATGCATGTCAAGGCAAGGAGGTTGAGTTCATTTCAATTTTTACTGCTAACCATATATCTAAACGTCTTAGCCGTTGGTTGGTGTGATGAATATTAAATTATATTTAATTTATGTTGTGCTGCTATTGCCTAAAAGTACTGCAACTTTTAACTTGCATGATTTTATTTATTTTGGTGCTCACATCGTCGTTACTAAAGGTTTAGTTCACCCAAAAATAAAAATTCATGTTGCTACAACAAACCCGTACGACTTTCATTCATATTCGGAAGACAAATAAAGATTTCTGTGAGTGTCCCTCCATTGAAAGTTACACAACTGCCCCTTAATTTCAAGCCCCAGAAAGCGAGTTAAGACATTATATAGGAAACCGTGTGACTTCAGTGGTTTAACCTCCGTTTTATGAAGCGACACTAGTCCTTGTGCAAAAAATAGGGTGACCAACTGTCCTATTTTCATATAACAATTTTAACCATTTCTATCCATACATAGGAGGCATAACCTACTTTAAATGTATTGAAATTGATAAGGTATCTTTGAGTAAACTTCATCATTTGAGTAGGCCCATCTGTTTGCCGGGCCGAGTGTCCTGGTTTTTGGTAATCAAAATATGGTCACCCTATAGCAAAAAAGCAATAACATAATTTACAACTTTATTTACAAAGTATAATCTCCAACGCTCCTTCACGAGAGCGCCACTCGTTGTGTTGTGTTGGCGCGAGAGCATGCTTTGTTACATGATGGTGCATCACATTAATATTTCATAACAAAATATGTTTTTTTTTTTTGTTTATTCACAAACCACTTCATAAAACAAGTTGAGCACTGTATAATGATGTCTTTACTACCTTAATGGGGCTTAAAAGAATAGTAGTTGTGTATGGACTGTCAATGGAGGAACAGAAAGCTCTCAGATTTCAAAAGACCTTCATTTGTGTTCTGAAGATGAAAGCAAGTCTTCTTGGTTTGGAACAACACGAGGGTGAGTAATTCATGACAGAATGTTCATTTTTGGGTGAACTAACTCATTAAAGCTAAAACCGCTTTAATTTAAGGGCTAATATCTAAGTGCATTCTGAAATCATTAATGCAAACTTTGTGAACTGAAGTGTCATGTGATGGAAAAATAACACGTGTTGCTGTTCCTTTCATTCCAGTGATGTCAGTTACTCTTCTGTCAGTTTCAGAGTTTGATGTGTATTTTGGCAGGTCTTTTAAACCAGGTCACTCTTTAGTGAATTTTAAATGAATAAATAATTGACTCTGCTTATTCCCATCCACTCTGTTTGCTTTCACCTGACCTAATCATGATGTTGGTTCTCCGAATAACCTGGTCTCCCAGCAACGTGCAGCATGTATCATGTGAAGGCCACAGTCTGTTCCGTGATGTTACCATGGCAATGGTCTTCATTTTACTAGGGGGCTTTTAAACAGATCAGCCATTGTATGATCTACAACACTAAAAATTAGTTTTTATTTTCATACTGTAAATTTCGGTTTACACTGCACGTTCTTGAGGGAAATAACATTTAGAGTGAATTACTAAAAGATGTGAACTCTAATAAATACCAAGGATGCATGCATGATATAGTGCATTATATCGGCCACCATATCGGTATAGCTGCCGATATATGTTTATTTTCAAAGTTATTGTATCCTATCAAGAAAATATTAAAGTCTCGTCTATAGGCAACACCATTCGGATCGAGAACACTTAACAGTAATCGTACTGTCACCCTCTTCACCGTAAATACTTTCTGGATACATTTTAAGTGCATCATTATCCAATCATTTGGCCGGATCCCGCAATTTCCTCAGATATAACTCCATCCAGTATTTTTGCCTGTAAAGTATATATTCCGGAAAAATATATACATTGCAAGTATACTGTATATATATATCGAATTAACGAACCAACGTCAGACGCGGCATTCTTCAAAGCTAAATGAAAATCGAAAATTGGTTTGCTTTCATAACGTTGAAACAACGCGTTTATTTCAAGTTGATTTTCCGTTAGTTTTGAAAGAATGACGCGTCTGACGTTGGTTCAACGTTAATTCGATGAGCAAAACAATGTCAGATCAACGTTGTTTCAATGTCATATTTCCACGTTGATTCAATGTCAGTTTGCTATCTGGGAAGTCTATTTGATGTGATGTTTACATCTGAAAGATGTGTTTTTTTGCTCGAGTGTTTGCTCGTCTGCAATACGTCTATAGGACGTTTCCTGCCAGATGTCAAATAGACGTCAGTTTAACATGCATTCTAAATCATTAAATCTTAAAGACATCTTCTAAACGGCTATAATCTGTTTTAATGGACAACAATAAGCAATATTGCTAAATGAATTAGCATTTCATGTTTGCAAAACTCTGGTTTTACCTTCTGTTCCTAACATAGCCTACATCCTAAACCTTTTTCAAACAATGTTTTTAAAGCATTTTTTAACATCAAACACTTTAGGTAAAGAATGGGTAAAGAATGTGGTAGATGAATGAGTAATATTCAGCAGGCTAAATGTTCCTGTAGTATGACAAACCATTTTTGTCTATTTCATGCTGTAGCCCTTTTTTTAAAGACCATAAAACAGTAATCATATGTGTTGAGCAGGACGGACGGCCATGTTGGAAAATCGCGAGGCGATTGCTAATGGGCAGCACCTGTGAAGCACACCGGTCTCGCATCTCTCTCAGAGGAGCGGAGGCATAAAAGGGGGAGCGACGGAGTGGATGATTGAGAGAGGAACAGGCTTTTGTTTGTGTTTTATATTGTATTTTTGTAAGCCAGCAGTCGTCCGCGAGGGGCTGCTGGCCGGTAGTTATGTTTTATTTGGGTAGCCAGCAGTTCCGTGAGGGACTGCTTGCAGGTTTTGTTTGTTTATTTCATTTAAATTAAGTTTTATTTTTTGATTGTTCCTGCCTCCTTCTTCCCTGAACCTTGCTACACATAACAGTTAGCCTACCGGTTTATGAGCGCCTTGCCTCAAAGTTACAGGCAACACATGACAAATCATTATAATTTTAACAAACTACTTTATTGTTAAATTGTTTTTAGTAGCCTACTTTTTATTAGTATTTAGGTTAAGGCAATGTCTCATGTCAATCAAGATTTACTAGAATACTACATTTAAAATAAAATAATTTAATAAATTAAAGTAAAAATGTAGTGTGAAAAGTAAAAATCGAATATAATGTAAATTAAAATAAAATGTATACTTTTTATATGTACCCATTTGTTGCATTATATATTCAAATGTCACATTACAAGTTTTCTTATGTCCAGATTTAGTAATATAAAATCATTTATCTTACCATAAAGAGGTTGAAAACGTCTATCCAGTAGCCCTGTCTCTGCTCAATAAAAATGATGTTGACAGTCCAGACAGATATTGTTCATGAGTGTAACTTAATCTAATGATCTCGAATGCCTTACAGGCAGACCCAGGCTTGTGAGCTGTTTTTGTGTGTATGCAGATTATTGAAAAACTCCAAACATCCACCAGTGGAGATTGCATCTGAATAGACTCTTTGTCTAAAAGTGTTTTATAGTTTATTTACATAATGAATGTTCATCTTCATCAATAAGATACACTTATAGGAATTGTGTCTAAGCAGATTTTAAACATATTTACAAAAATACATAAACTCCAGAAAAAAATAGTCTGCACCGAAACCCAAATGTTCATCTATACTGTATATATTGTCATGTTTACTCCAATGTTTTTGACAAGTTTCCATAAAGTTTTTTCCACACAAATCCCTATTTATTAAGAATGATTAATTTAACAAACTGTGATAGTGTAGCATGTTGTCACACTAATTGGGGCAATAGGACATCTTTGAAAAAGCCCCAGACAAACACAGATTCTTACACTACTGTTCAAAAGTTTGGGGTCAGTAAAGTTTTAATCCTAATCTTATTGTGAACAATTCACTGCATGTGTTTAATTTTATTATATAAAAAAGAAACCTTGTAATTCTCAATCAAAATGTCATAAGTCAATCTTCAAATTAAACAATATGCTTCTCATTGGTGATGTATGCCAGACTTCTCCAATAATTTAGTCAGCTTAAACCCTGCCCCTTTTGTTAATCACTGCAAGCCTGCATGCATCTGCCTCCATCCAATCAACAACCGATATATAGAACCAAATTCTGCCATTTTTCTTTTTTGATAATCCATGATGTACATCACAATTTTAATACATTTAAATATGTAATTTATTCCGGTGAAGTCAAAGCTGAATTTCCATCATCATTACACCAGTCTTCAGTGTCCCATGATCCTTCAGAAATCATTCTACTATGATGATTTTCAGCTCAAGAAACATTTATTATTATAACCAAAGTGAAAAAAATAGTTCTGGTTAGTGCTGGTTAATATTTTAGTGGAAAATGTGATACTTTTTTTCAGAGTTCTTTGATAAATAGAAAGTTTGAAAGAACATTGAAATTTATTTTTACTGTCACTTTTGATTCATTTCTTTTAAGAAAAAGCTTACTGACACCAAACTTTTGAAGTATCCATACTGTATACTGTATATAAAGACATTAGGGTTTAGTGTATTCCTTCACTTCATCAGGAGAAGCTTAGGTTATGGAAGAACTTTGGACGGCGAGCCGCATGTCGGTTTTCCGGCTCACTGCCTCGTCTCCTGGTTCCTTCTTTTTCTCTACGTCTGCGTGCCAGATCCTCCTCTAACACCTAAACATACGCAACAGCAGTCGTTAAGTTTCTGATCAATCAAGAAGTTTTAAACCTCAAATTTAAGTCTTCAATCTGATACCTCTTTTCTGCATGCAAGCTTATCTCTCCATTCGTTGAGCTCCAGAGTGTGCTCGTCCTCTAGAGCTTTGATCTTTTTCTTCTCCATGTCCACAAGAACTTGAAGCTTCTCATTCTAAAATCCAAACACACAGACACTGAGAATCACCTTCCCTCAATATGAAAACACTGTAAGGCTATAGATTGACAAACTGTTGTTGATGTACCTGAAGTTGCTGTAATTCAGCTGTACTGGCATCACATTGTTCCTGCACCGCTTTTAACTGGTTCTCATGACTTTCTTGAAGACTCTGTCTCTCTTGCTTCTGTCTGGCTTCCTCCTCTGACACAAACTGAGGATGCGAAAGCGGAGAGGACAAACTGCATCATTTGCAACTTTTCCGTTTAATGCCGGGTACAGATTACACGATTTTAGCCCGATTTTGGCACGATCCGTTTGATGTAGGGTGTCGTGGGGATTTGTAAACGACAACGGGCGTGATGCAAAGTTCAATCGTATCATCTCGTATAGTGTGTCATAGTGGGCGACAACCTACGTTGCGTCTGCGATGCTTCACGACAAAAAGACTAGCATGTTTAATTTGTTTAACGGTCGTCCACGACGGTTCCTTACGAAGCTTTTCCATACACAACTTTTAAAAATGGCGAAACGAAAGAGAGACGATGGTGCTAACGTTAAAACTAAAAGTAACAATATATAAGAAAACAATATTTTACCTCAAGTTCTCTTTGGAGGATTGACAGCCCATACTGTCCTCTTCAAGCAATCCAGGAACGTGTCCATTTTTTCCCGTAAAGGTTTTCTTTTTTCCTTTTTACTTTTTTTCTGAACACAGGACAGCCAATACAACACTCACCGCTTCGTATGTTTACGTTCTTTTCCGGGAGTCACTCGCTACTAGTTTCACCTTCTCGATGACATCACGTGCGCTGTTAAAGACGCTATGCGATGACTGGTCAGGAAGCAACGTGTAGCCTGACATGTGTCTTGTCCACGACACGACAAGATTTTAGGAGTCAAAATCACGTAATCTGACACAGTAATTATCGTAACAGACAAAAAAATCGTGTAATCTGAACCAGGCATAAGGTCGTTTTCCAGACCTGTAGATAGTTTGCTTAGTTCTGAAACATGGATTAAAATGGTCATGATGTGTCAATTTCTTCCTGGTT